TAATTAATCAAGTGGGTCCCTTCCAATCCAAGCCATTCTATGACTCTGTGACCAAAGTGGATGCTGTATTTTGTTTCATATACCTTTATCTGGCTTTTAACAAAGAAAGCTTGGTTGAAAATTGTGGTTTAACTGTGGCTGTACAAGATTGTGATGCTTAGATATAGCAGGTGTTAATACCTATTAAACTACCAAAAATATGCAACAGTACTCTGTGTGTGTATTAGCATGTGAGCAAGATCTTGCAAGTTTATTTGTAATCCTTCCTATCTACAGTGACACACTGAGAATGATGTGACATATCGAAATTGCTGAAGTGTAACGGAAATACAACCTACATTTGTTTTCCATGTCAATCAGAATAAAGAAAGCAAATAGACTATGGGAACAAGAAAACATGCTTTTTTTTCTTGGTCACCCATGAGTAGGATAGTGATTTGTAGTCTATTCTGTTAATGGTGTATTTTAATAGCTAATTTTATTTATTTTTCTGGTAGTATTTCCTTGCCCCTCCCATTTAAATATCTTGTTGGTACATAATAATGACTAATTACTTGGGGGAAATGATGAAGCAGTTTGATAATCTGCTGAAATATTGTTTGTTTTCCCTTGCAGATGGTTATTAAAAAATCAGTAGTTCCACTGTAGTCCTTAACATAATTACTCATATGAATATGGTATGCATAAATAAAGACTACATATGTACACAGTTTGAACGATTGGATCACTATAGTATTTCACATGGTATATCTTCCTAATTATCTCCAAGATGACAAAAAGGCCAAAGTTTATGTAGCATTATATGAAATTTGGGTTGAAACTTGGGGCTAAAAGCCATTTCCATTCCTCTCCTTATTGGTGATCTGTTGCTTCTTATTTTAACCAAAGCTTTGCTTTTGTGACAAGCTTTAAAAATGTCCGGAAAACTTTGCACGTTGTACATAGTCTCTCTGATCTTGCAGGAGTTAAATGGAAGGTAATAAAAGAAGTTACATTCATCTAATATAACAGCACAGAGCTGCAGTGCTTGTATGCCAATGAAGAACTTGTTTCTGTGTGAGGAGGTGATGATGAGTCAGTGGTCGCCTATTCCTGCTCTTTGTCTTTGGCTGAATCTTCTCACTAGTCTCTGCGCTTTAGGAGCTATGCTTGGTAGAGAACTAACCCTACAAAAAAGGAGATATTTTTCTGCCCATCTAAATCCCTGACTTACCGTTAGTATATGACACTTCAGGCAAGTAGGGAATGAAAGAGTGTGGGAAAAGTGGCAAGGGATTTGTTATTTTTTCTGTACCTGTTCATCATTAGCTTGGTTTAGTTGTATCACCCAGTTGTGCCTGTGTCTTGGCAGAGAGCACATAAAGGAGCCTTTATAACTTTTCTCCCTTGTTATTTTACAGTGACTACTAGAATAATGGGAAGCCTGTGTACAGCTACAATCCGTGACTTTATTTCATCCAGGCCATGCAAACGTATTTCTCCCTCTTTTTTTAATGGCACGTGTGTGTTAATGCCTGACTTATACAACTTTCAGCAAATGAAACCTAGCAGATATGTGTCAGATCTGGACTTGAATGATCAGGTAGAAAAGTTGAGAAATGGTGATTGAAATGAGCAATCAATTCAGAATACTGTACCTGATTTAATGCTAGATTTGTCTGTAACACTGCATTTTGGTAAATACAATATATTCCTATTTGTGAGTTACAAAGTAAAAACCTGGAACAATAACTTGCAATCTGCTTTGTAGCAAACTTCTCACAGAAGCGAAGGACTCAGAGCCATAACTTAATGCCAGATGCAATGTTCAAATATGACTAAAATGTCATTCATCTGAAGGAAATAAATTTAGAACTGTCATGAAGGAACAAGAATAGTTACAAATTATATATATTTAAATTTATTTGCCAAATATGTTTAAGCATATTCTTTAAGCACATTCAATGATGTATAAAATGAGAAATAATAATTACCTAGCTATATTTTTTTTCTGGAATCATAATTGTCCTGAAGTTTTTGACATAGCAGTATCAGACTGATTAATGAGATAGCTATTGATAATTTCACTTCATGAAAAAAAGCTGTAAAAGTGGCAGGCTAATTACAGGATACACCATTAATGGGTAAGATGTGATTATATCTGTTTTCCAAGTTGCACTCTCGTATTACAGTGTTACATCTTCTGAAACATAATATACACGTATAGTATGTGTAATCGTCAGGAAAGCTGCACAGTCTGTGCACACAGATCTCTTGGTCTCTTCAGTCCTTCTTCACACTGATTTCAGGCAGGATTACTTGCATTAGCAGAGGATGGAGAGCTGAGTGTTTGTGGTGGTTCTGAATAATGAATTTCTGAAAGATTCCAGAAAAGGCACTCGATTCCTCAAACATTTTCTGCAAACCAAGCAACATGCTTTGAAGTCTGTGCTCAGAGAAGAAGAAACAAAACCAAACTGTGAATCTTCCGGAATACCATCTCCTCTTATAGAATGCTTCAGTGGCTTAATGAGGTTAATTTGTGTTAGGTTGTGGGGAATCTGTTATCTACTGCACCGAGGCTTTCATTTCACATGAATGTGACAGATACTGTACTTACTGCACTCAAACTTAATTATGTGATAGCATAAGGAGCTGAAATCCCTGCATTTCCTCTCAGGGAATATTCATAGCACACTCTAGATGGTAAACAGAAACTAGAGGATGGTTGGCCTAGATTTTCAATTATTGAAATATATTATACACATATATATATATATACTTTTTAGGTTGTTTTGATTTCATACCTAGAGCATTTAAAAACAATTTTAATAATGATAGGTCACTCTCAGTACATGGTTATTTTTTATTCTATTCCTTTTTCACATTTTTTTTTTTTTACCCTTTGAAATGCTTTTCTGTGTTGTACGTGAAACTAAGTGACCATTTCTTCTAATTACAGTCTTTTCCAATAAGAGACTTTAAATACCAATTTTCCTAATTAGTACAGAGTGAGTCTTTCAAAAGTTTTGTTTCAGAAAGAACTATTATTTCAAAGCTCTTAACAGCTCTTTAAACTGGATTCCGTTTCAGATGACTATTGATGTACACACTGATTTTTCCTTCTAGGTATATTATTGCACTTCTGGAGATTTGGTAGAGCTGTTGTAAAGCTACCTAATGAAAAACTGAAGTAATGACATTTCAGGATCATTGAGACACATCACAGTACAAATAAGGACTGAAAACTAATATAGTGAAAAATTAAGTGGGAAGAAATTCACTAAATTTATATTATTTTTTAAGATTCAATGTTTGTTTTTTAATGGATACTTAATAACAGAAAAACAGCAAATTTTTATTAGCATGTGTGCATATTAAATGTGTAATTGCCTATCAAAATGAATGTGAATTTACAAAAGCAGTTTGTTCTCTCATATATCATATGTATTACATATTTTTCTCATAGATTTCTGGTGTGTGTGTGTAGCATAATAAGATGAATCATGGGCTAGTAATTCTCACTGTGCTGTAACATTTCAGATGTGGTACTGCATGATATGATGAATATAATACAGCCTGTTGTAGCACGGTGCAATGAGTGACGGCGCAGATCACAGGCTGTTTAGTGGACTTTGTTCTACTGCAAAATGCATAATTGCCTAAACGAAATGTTTAGTAGTCTGTGTGTTGTTGATGAAGATGCAGAGTCTAATCACTGCCTGTGGGTTTTGTCTTTAGGAACGTTCTTGGGGGCCATATTCTACATCAAGTGTACTTTGCTCCTTTAGTCCTTTTGAGAGCTGATACTGTGCAATAACAGCTCAGTAGATCCAATGGGCAATGTTGAGCTCCCAAGAGCCCCTTGGCAGGGTTTTCTCCATGTGGAAACTCACTTTTTTCATTAGGATATAAAAGGTAACAGAACCATTCAGAGCATCCACATGCTAACCAGCAGAAGAAACAGGGGGGCTGCTGTAGCAACTGTTGTCTTGTGTAATTCCTGTTCCTCCCTGTATGGTGTTATAGATCAGTACCAGATTTCTTGTTCTTCCTTCTGATGGGAATGAACTATCTTCAGAAATGCTCTTTTTTTTAAATTAATCTTTCTCTTCACCACTGCATGCTATGATAAAATTATTTTTATGAATTCCAGATCCTTTAAGAACTAGCTGCTCAACCAGAAAGGGTAGTTTTCTTACTCATCTTTGCACATAAGTCCTCTCATAGGACTCCAAAGGCTTCGGTTAGAGTAGCATGGAGATAATGAAGGTTGTCCTGTTGTCATCTGGATTTGGAAAACTTTGATTTCCTTTGTTTCCAGACATCTTTTGCAGTGCCAGGCTGACATTTAAAATGCAATTCCTAAATAGTTTTTCTTTCATTTTCTTTTTTTCTTTTCTCTTTTTCCATTTTCTTTATCTTCTTTTTTTTTATTATTATTATCTTTTCCCTTTCCATTTCCTCTTTCAGGGCTTTCCCTGTATCCTGCCAGCTCTTCTCTGACCATTTGCATGAAGGTTTTGGGAGAACTGATGAAAAACAGTGATTGCAATGGACATAAACTCTGGACACATGGAATCTGGAAATATATGCATATATATGAATTTTAAAGTTGATATACTGTCCTCCAAGGTCTTACCCTGAGGAACAAGAATAAAAAAACTTGGTAGAAATATACAGCTGCTTATGGGAGTCCAGAAATTAATGTACATTTTGTACATTAGTTTTATAATGTCTCTGCTTTCCACTTCACTGGATCAGTTCTGTATGCAGCCTTCTCCAATTGCTTTTCTTTAGCCAGCATTTTCTGCCTGAGATAGTTACACTACATTTGGAAAAGAAATCAACTTTACAATCTACTGTTAGTACCATTGTAATTCTAGTTTCATGCATGGCAGACTGCCTTACAGATCCAAGTTTGATGCATTTCTAATTAAAGAAAAACAAAAAAAGTACCCCCGAACAATACAATGTTACCTCACAGTGTTATCAAATTGCCCATCTTCTTATTTTCACAGCTCACCATGTTAAAACTGGGACCTGTGAAGTGGTGGCACTCCACAGATGTTGCAATAAGAACAAGATAGAAGAAAGATCACAGACAGTGAAGTGCTCCTGCTTCCCTGGGCAGGTAGCAGGTACCACCCGGGCAGCTCCTTCTTGTGTTGATGGTGCGACTACCTCTATTGCTTCCTTTTATTGCATGTTCCTAGATAATTTTGTTAGCTTAAAGATATAAAAAAAAACCCACTCTATTGCAGTTAGCTTTTCAAAGTAAGAGAAGAAAGGCTTCTGCATTTTGAAGGGCAAGCCCAAGGTGAATGGAATGATGATGGGAAAAGTGAGTTATTTGTTTTTACTCTGTGGAAATGCTAAGTGAAATTATTAGATGCAGGTGAAGGAGACCTCTTGAGAAGCTAAATTTGACCTAACCAACAGAGGGCCCCCAACAGTGTATGGAGTTCACTTAATTAAAAGTGTTTACACAAACTCTACAAGAGCATGTCATTTTCATATGCTACGGTCTTATATTTATATATTTATCTTCATCATAAAGCATTAAACAAGCAAACAAAGAGAACACAATTCTGGCTGTTTTTGAAAGTCTCTGTAGACCAACAGTATTTTTTGTGTTCACTGTATGGTATTAGTGTTTTATTTAACAAATCTGGCATTGATTCATATGTTTTAATTGGGAATACACTAGCTTATTTTTCACTTCTATTTCTCTGAAAGAGGAGCAGAATAGATTCACCCTTTCCATGATCTCTTTACTGTTGATATGTTGTTGGCTGTCAGAGAAACTGTAAATATGTCATCTTTAGGAAATATATTTAATCAGCCTGTGCTAGACTGTAGAGCAGATCAGGCAAAATATACTAACTCAAAAGAAGAGACTGCTTAAAACTTTGAAATCTGGCTGAGCAAGAGAAAATTAGAGTTAGAAAGGAATGCTATGAAATTACTTTCTGAACTGCAGTAAATTAGAAAAAAAAAAAGCAGCAAAGATTGTCTTTGAAGTGTGTAGCACCTTGTGCAAATTGAGGCTTCATTTCTTGTGAAGATTATGAGCTGGCTGCAAATCATAGAGTAAATGTTGGTTGATATATTTCCAACATTTTCATGGAAAATAAAAGAAGTGATGCAATATAATGACATATTAAAATGTCCATTTCAAGAACATGCAAATGTAGTTGTTTTCTTCTCTTGTAGCTTCAATAGTGGAGCAGAAATGGTGGTGCCACATGCAACCATGTCTTGAAGGGGAGGAGTGTAAAGTTCTTCCAGATCGTAAGGGATGGAGCTGTTCCTCTGGGAATAAAGTGAAAACAACTAGGGTAGGTATGAAACCAACCTTACATGCTACAAACAGGTAAAAATACGTGCACAGGAAGTTGGGTGCACATGGAAGACATCAGCTGAGAAGAGCAAAGAAGTGTGGGAAGAGACTCATACTGGAAATGGACGTCATCGTCCTGCACACTTGTCTCAGCATACATAGCAGTTGCTTAATCATGGTAAGCAGTGTGCCAGACCGTCTCAGGTGAGCAGTGGAGATGATAGAGTTGACACCTTTTTCAGCTACTGGTAATGATTACATGTTACAATCTGACATGTATTTCTTTCTGAAACAAAAACTATATGCTGTGCTAAGTTCTTTGTTTACAGGATAGCAAATGAGTACATTTTAACCAGTAACATGGCATTACCAGGTTTTGACATAGAAACTGCTGGGCATGGTAAGCATTTGATATGCAATTATAAGAGGATCTTCTGGTTCTTTCTGTCTTGTGTGACTGATTGAGTACAAATTTTTCAGTTTCAGTAAATTCCTTTTCTTCACTTGACACAAATCTAACATTATATACAATGCCTGAAAACAGAGTAAGCCTTCTGTCATCTCAGTTTTTAGTGCCTACAAACACAAGAGTAACAAATCCTTCAGCTAAGCAGGAAGTTCTCAGACTTCCTCAAAATCCAGAACTGTGTCTCTACAGGATCAACAGTTCTATATCCACATAAAACATTACAGATGCTCCCTGAAGTCACATATGAATGTATATGTGCAAGAACACCTTCACCTTTTCACTCCCCCATCCATACCTGATCACTGTTTTGCTTGTAGGTTTCTAATAATTGTTTGTGGTGTCGGGCCAGTACATTGTTAACATAGGTGTATCTGAGTGTTTAAGCCATTTGAATAAAATCTTCCCCATGTAGGCACTAAATTTCTGAATGCCTTGATTGTACTGAAACGTAGATTTGTCTGGCTGAATTATATTTTATTCTACAGGGAGATCTGCATGTCTCAGTTTTTGTATACCTAAGTTTTTTGCCACTTTGCCTTTCTTTGAAGGAGGGATACTTCCTCAATGTTTGATGTACTCTTTTCCTCCCAATTCCTCTGTCAAATGTATATATTCTGAAGCTAACCGTTCTTGAATTCTGCCCACCTAACCTAGTAACCTAAGTACCTGCTAATGCATATCTGGTTATATGAATATGAAAGGGAACTAGAAAAAATGTAATAATGACAATAGAAGTAGGAAAAGAAGCGTGTGTATGTTTTGAAATTGGTCCTTGTTACTGCTGCATTGTATATGATACTATTAGCGCTCAAGAATGCATGCCATTTTATATTTAATGTGTTTGACAAGCATATAAGTAAAAGTGTGGCTCTGGATTACCATCCTGTAGGAAAAAAAAAAAAAAATAAAAATGATCACAAAATGGGAAGACATCAATAGGAACCTCTTTGAGGATATTTCTTCACGTTTTGTCAAAAGATAAGTTCTTTTGTCAAGGTTATGAAATTATGCCTGCCCTTAGGAATTCATAGAAGCCCAAGGCTCTTGTCTGGAAGGACTCTTGCCTCTGCTGCAGACTCACAGGTCTGCCTCTTTGCAGGAGTTGGCCTTTTCTTGTCCTCCAAGGATAGTGGTAGTCCTCATGACTCACTTCATGGTTCCTCAGAAGTGATACTATGAAAAAGTCACCTATTAGACACACTGACTCAGTTCAGTGGCCATCATAACCTGCAGCTACTAAAAGGAAAAAAAACCTGATTTCCTTAAATCCCCTGCTATTTTCTCTGCCTTCCAGTTTGCCCAGATACTATGTGTTTCTTCATTTTCCAAACGTGTGCAATACTGTTTTGAGACATTCCCAAATTTGAATTCAAATTTCTGAATTTGAATTCAGATTACTGACTGAGACTTGGTCTCACTCATTTAGAAGAGATGATAGGGAATTGAAATTTTCTGTTTTTCTGGGCACAAGAGGCTGGGATATCATTCTGATGCCCAGAAAAATATATATTGCTATTAAGAATGCAATTGACTGAAGTAAGAGTAGCCTATTATCAAAAGCAAGTATTTTTCCCTAATTTGTAGTGAATATAATTTTTTCTGTAGTTCCTCTTTCTGCTCCCTCAAGTCTGTAAATAACAGGAAAAATTCTAAATGACTCAAAACTCCTTGTAAAGGAAAACAAAGAATTCTTTGAAGAGCCAATATTAAGAAGACATGAATAATATTATTCTGATTGTTAAATGAGATAACCCATATATGATTATCATGTATAATGTGAAAGCATAAAGAAATGAAAGAACTGAAGAGCCGAGGCAATTTAAGTACTGCTGTAAAGCATTGTGAGGGCTGTCCTGAATGGGTCTAAGAAAGTATGAGGTCTATATTCATCTCCAAACATCTTCTGTTAGTTTGCCTCCTTCATGAGCATAAAAAGTAACCCAATTAAGTGCTGAAGTACTGTCTTCTCAGCTGCAGAATACCATTATTTAAAAGCAGCACCTAGATTTCCACAAGCTGTTAATAATTAAGTATTAGAGTAGAAATTAAAGCAGTAATAGGAAGAAGATATTTTTCTTGTCCACATTTGATTGTATCACTGTAAAGAGTGACGATGCCAAATTCTTGATACTTATGTTAAGCAAAAATTTAAGCAAAAAGCAAATTATGTGAATAATGAAAGAAAATTAATTTATTTTTAAATATCTGCTCTACTTGAGGTTTTGCTTTTTATTTAGGTAAATACGGATCTAATAAATTTACAAACCAATAGAAGATTAGAAATAGTATGAGTTCTATGGTTCTGAGAATTCAAATGTTAAGAAAAGTCAGGTCGTAATTATTTACCTTAGTAATGGAATATCAGCTATTATGGAAAGATTAAACTGTATTCCTAATTTCTCTACATACTAGTGGAAGATGCAGATATTAGGAGTTATTCATGGAAAGCAATGAAATCTGGAGCACGTTTGTGACTAAAGTGAATACTGAGTAAACTCATTTTGGCTTAGAATTGACTATTTTGGGCCTATGGAGCCTGCAGGAGGGGAAGGGAGAAGAGGGAATGGCAATTTAGCTAACAATTTCATGTAGAAAATATATGTTTGTGTTCCTGAACATTATGCTGCAACAAAAGAAGATGTTCAGAAACTCATTAATTTGAATTATGAAGTGCTTATGTTCATAACTGAGATTTGCCAGGGACATTCTGGCATTTTCCTCCAGACTGAGAAACTTTGGGGAAGCAAGTAAATGAATTCTTTATCTGTATGGCTAGTCTTAAGGCTTTGCAAAATAAACAATTTTTGCCAAGATATTCACCTTATGCGATGATGAAAGTTGTAGAAAAGGGGAAAAATCTGAAGTATTTTTGCTTTTGAAATAATCTTTTTTTCTCCCAACTTTTTTCTAAAATAATTATCTTTATTCAATACATTCTCTTGATGTGTTTTTTTTCCATCTCGTGAAACAAACGAACAAAAATGCCCATTTAAAATGAGAATGTTCTCATCACTTGAATCCCCAAAGTAGTAGTGTTATGAATGAAATTGACAATGACGTTAAAGAAAGTACAAACTTCAATAAATGAAGGAGCCCCTTACAAAGATGGGATAGCAAAATTGTGCAGTCAGATAAGATCACCTAAGCTGAAAAATCCTGTTTCCTATTTGTCACCAGTACGAGGTGCACGTCTTTCACACTGGAGATCTCTGGGCAGTGGTTTTTCAAAGGCAAATCCAGATGCTAGGCTTTACTTATGTTTTTAAGAACAGCACGTTGCACGTTGTCTTTATAATACAGACTTACTTCAAGTAGAAGCACCAGAAGTTACACGTGACTTGTGTGAAAATGCAACCTGCAGTGCTTCCTGGGCATCCTGGTTCCCCAAGCATCAACCCTCAGATAAGCTTGGAGCAAGGCTTGGCTCTTGGGCAAACCATAAACCCAGATGTTTTTTCTAAAGAACCTGGAGTGCAGGAAAACATGTGGTGCATCTTGAGGATTCCCTTCGGTTTCCAAAGCTGTGATATGATAAGAAGTTACTCTTCTGCTCAAGAATGGGGAGGTGCCCCTGGGCTGCAGTTCAGCACAGTCTGTAAATCTGTTCAGATAAGGTGGGCTGGTATTTTATGAAGATATGTAAAAATATGTGTTCGTATTTTTCATACAAAACAATACCTTATCCTTGAACTTAGTGTTGGTAGAGCTGCTGGTGGAATAAGGTACAATTTAATACAAAGCTCTGGTTAAACCATTTATACTGGAATTCACTGGTATTTGTTTAGAACAGGACTGTCTATCCTAAGATCCAGTCTATCTTATTAGTATCAGAGACAGCTGCCCACTTCCAGAGAACAATCTGTTTTGTCCTAAGGTAGGTCAGATTAATTATCTTTAGAAGGTGCTTATGTCTCCCTAATAATTCCGAAGGAAAGCTTTGATGATTAACTTAGTGCCTAACATTCAGATGTTTAGTGTTGAATAAGAAGATGCTGTCTAGGAGGCTTTCTTTGATGTGGTCTTCAGTAGGAAGCTGATCTAAAAAAATCCTAAATTCTCTGTCAGTTTGGGAAGCTTTGGGTTTTGACCGCTGTCAAATGTAATACAGTGTGAGAAAAGCTTTTAAAATGTTCTGAAGATACTCAGCTGTGTGCCGAATAAGTGAATCATACTGTGATGAGCATCATGCCCAGTATCTATTATTCATCAGAAATTGGTAACCAGTGCATGTCCTTTTAGGACAGCATTGTTGTTATAATAATAATAATATAAATGAACCAAAATGATCAGATGCATTGCATAGCAGGTATTTCTTATTAACCTTTGAAAATCTCTAGAAGGTGAAAGTGAACAAAGTAATATTTTCCTATGAACAAGTGCAAAGAGTACTTTCACACAGGTCGTAAAAGGCCATCTTTTGGAAATGAGCATCTAACTTCTGGAATAGCTTTACACCCACACTTTTATGAGAGGCAGAAGGAACTGCAATTGTCACTCTGAAAACAAGCCATTATTTTTAATATGTGGGT